CGGAGGGTTCCCTGCGTTGCAGGGGCTTGGAGAAATTAAATTATTGTATAGAAAAAAAGAAGGTGAGAAGGAATTTTTTTAGTGGAAGTATCTTAGAAGAAAAGTTACTTAAAATAAATTAAAATCTATATCTAATAATAGTGGTTGCAAAACAGGTTTTAAATTATTTTTTGGGTAAGTTATTTCTGAAATTAAGGTGGAGAGAGAGAGAGAGTAGGTTATAAAAAAATTTTTGTATTTCTGGAAATTAAGGTAAGTTGCATCAAGACCAAAATCAGAGAGCTGAACATATTATGTATGAAATAAGGAATTAAAGAGTTATAGAAGAGATCAATAATGAAAAATTGTAAATCAACAATATATAACATATTATTGATTATAAAGAGCCTCAATAAGAGACCAACTGGTCTCAATTTTAACAATAGGACAATTTCCCTGATTCAGAGTTCTTTTTTTACCTTTGCATTGAAGTTGGAATCCAAAAGAATATTTGATGACTTAAGATCTCTATGGATCACTGGAGGATTACAGTGTTCATGTAGATATTCTAATCCTCTGCATCACAAAATCGAAGTTAATGGATGACAGAAAATTAGAATGGATTATAAGAAACTACAGAATCAGGTAAATGAGAAGAACTTAAAATAAAAAATAAAAAATGAGTATTGCTTAACAAACTGATAAACTCACCTTGTTGCCTCCAGGGGTAATTTTCATCCGGATATGACAGAAATTTAAACTGTTACTCTTTCACTATCTTTTAACATCATTTCCATTGGCCTTGGATAAGAAATAAAGTGATAACATGCAATTGTGTTTCAAGAGATCCATTATGCATCAATTCATAAACAAGAAATCTTGTTTCTTTGTGAATGCAATGGCCCATAAGAAAAATTATATTCGGATGCCGGATGGCTACCTTCACTCTGCAATTTTGTTAATACAATTTCAATGGACCGAAATTTTAGTGGATGGATGATATTTTTCAGAAAAAATTGTTGGTACTTGGCAGAAATATTTTGGGCCTAATCTTTCAGGTCAAACGTTAAACATCAATTTAATCATACCAGTAAGTTGAGCTCAATATTTATCAACAAGATGGCATATCAATGCATTCCAGTAGATTTCACCATTTTACCTTGTATTGGCATATCAATACATCGTTTTCCAATACAAAACTGTTCTCATTAGATTCAATTTAACCAATTTAATTTCCAATTTTTCCACCCCAACCCAAACAAGGTGTTATTTCAGTGGAATGCATTGAGATCCCCTCAAAATATATCTAATAAAGCTGAGCATAACCTCATCATACATTTATATTTTTTTCCAGGCTTACAAAATGTAACAGATGTTAAGATCATGATAACAACTAATCATATGGCCAGAACTCAGAAGAATCAGAGCTCTCCCCTGGTTTGCCTCATMTATGGGTCTGCGAAAGATTATATAAACAAAATGCGTAAGTTTAAATATGTGGGCTGGGTTAGAATTGGACTGGACTTGAAGTATTAAGTTCAAGTCCGGCCTTAAAATTTGTGAGCCTGATATGGGCTCGGGCCCGAATCGAGTCTGAACACAAAACCTAGGCCCAAATTTCAGGGTGTTGTAACATATTTTGTTGGCAGGTGATCCCATCACGCTAGTGCTACCAGTGGCTTTGGCTTTATCCACTTGTACACGTGATTCTAAATTTATGTGATTCTACCATAAAACCACAAACATCGTTTTCTGGGAGCCCAATGAGTAGAAGACACTCAACCATTCTGCTAAAATTTCAATTTTCAGTATTCAACCGACATCACTTCCACTATTAATATTTTAATTACATAATTAAAATTTACCTGAAATTATATAAAAAAAAAACTAAATATTTCAGCACTTCATGGGTGTGCCGTCAGGCCGTGGCTCAAATTTCTATTACTCCATGGTCCAACCCAATTTGCTTCTGACTTCCGGCCCGTGGCCCCCATAATCGTGTGGTCAATGCCGATGCCTCCACAAGGGAACATATGATTTTGTGATACTAGACATACAATAGCACAATCCCATAAATTTAAGTTAATTTTGTCATGGTTTAATGGATTAACGGATCGGTCCGGTTCTTCCATTCAAATAGTGTATGCTGTATAATAAGGCCGGATTCAGTCGGATTGAATTACATCGAAACCCGACCCCATCATTCAAATTCCAAAATGTGAATATGATAGATTCTAATCCTCCGCATAGACGTGCAATCGATTCCTACGACCACTCATGCAAAATTCAAAATATCATATTTTAGATTAGATTCTAACCAGATTCTGCTCTATTGTAATATTATATAATCAGATTTTATTTTGTTAAGCGGAAGTTAAACAATAAAAATATATAAGAGTATATAATTATTTTATATTTTAATTTTTAATAATCAATTCGATCGAATTCGATCTGAGTTGGTYGGTTTTCTAATATTTCCGATTGATTTTGGTTTAACAAATTTTCAACCTCACCAAATTAGATTAGTTTTGGTTTGGTCATTTGTAAATCGATCAAAACTGAACCAACCTGACCATAGATATATATTTTATATTTTAAATATAATTTTTTAATATGGGAACGTGGGAAATTCCCATATTTCTTAGTTGAAAATAATTTATATCATAAATTTAATTTCTTAAATTTATTTTTTAATAATATCACTATAATTTATTAGATTTAAATTTATTTTTTTAAGTTTAAATCTTTTGAACAAACAAACCAAACCAAAAATAGACCCAAATTGATACAACTTGAGTTGGCAGGTTTTCACTTACGGTCAATTGGTTTCGGGTGACAAACTCCTAACCCGACTAGGTCAATTTCGGGTGACAAACACTCCAAATTTCAGCTAAATTAATAATCTAATCTTTAATAAACAACAATAGATTAATCTCCAATAATTATTAAAATTTTATAGAAAAATATACAATATTGAAATAAATTTATAATGAAAATACAATAGATATCTAATAAAAATATAATAATTACAAAAATACAATAAATACTAAAAATATATGAAATTAGTCAATAAATAGTGTAATATCAAATAATCGTTTAATCTTTAATAATTGTTAATCAATAAATTATAAAAATACATAATTACTAAAAATAAATTTATAATAAAAAACATAATAAATTAAATTTCAAAATAAAAATAAATTTATAAATAATTATTGAAAACAAATTTATCAAAAATACATTAAATATTTACTGAGAATAAAATAAATATTCATTTCAGTATATATAAATATATAATGAATATACACTATTATTGTAAAATTATTACTAATAAGTATTAATTTTTTGAAAGGTATTGTCTATAATTATTAATTTAAATAAGTGAAAGTAATTTTTACAATATTATTTAGTTGTTTAAAATTTTAAAATATTGATTTTAATAATTTGTAAATTATAATTAGTACTATTATTAAACAATTCGTTATTGATTTTGTAAAGTATGAAATTAATATTAATATGAATTTTATTTATTTTAATATTGAAAACATATTTCAAAATGCTTGAATTTTATTTATTATAATGTTATTACATAATATTAAACATTTTGTTGTATAATTATTTAGATATTTTTAATGTTTTTTATTTAAGATATCTAGTTATTGAAATATTTAATTAATGTTACATTCTTATTATTTGAATAACATTTAAATTGAATAATTCGTAAAATTGTAATTTATATTGTTACCACATAATTTCATGTTGAATTTTGTAAAAATATATAATTATCAATGGGTAATTATGTGGAATTAAAAAATAAAAAAATTCAGAAAAACAGAAAATTAGAAAGGGGGTTTGTAGCAAAGAGAAGCATGGTGATGTGGACTGTCTTGCTATATATATATACATATATATATATATATATATATATATATATATATATATATAGATTACATATATAAAATAAATAAATCAATAAAAATTTATATATTTTAACTATACAATATACAAACTATATAATTATAGAATATCACAATATTTATATATGCATTTTTTATTAATATCACACTCATAACTTTTATCCGATCGGGTGGGGTCAAATCCACCTCTCATGATCCTATTACCAATGTACATTTTAACATCTAAGGGGGTGTTTAGCTCTGTAAATATATCATGGATGAGACTGTTTTGGTTCCATCTACGATAGAACAAGACATTTAGTTTTTTGTGGACTGTCCTTGCCCACAAAATAACATGGATAGAGATGGGCCACACACCAATTTATCATCGCCAATATTATTTTATTGTGGATGGGCCACACTATAGTGAAGACAGTTTGTGGGAAGCATTCAATGCAAGGCACTTGTGTTACACTAACCCAACCACCCTCATTTTATTTAATCTTTTAACATATTTTCATTTATATTTAAATTGTTTATTACCAAAGATAGTATTGTGATGATTTTTCTAAACATTGGACCCTTTTTAATTATTTTTGTCACTATTTTTTTGTTAATCAAAATGGTTTTGCACTATTACATCTATTCATATTGTATACATTTTATTCTCTAATAATTGACATAAACGAAAAATATATTTATTAATAATTTTCTTATCCATTATTATTTTAAAATATTTTTGGATAAAATTATGGTTATTTCATTCATGATTAACTGCATAAATTATCTCATATGTTGTATGTAATATATATAGAATCAATAGTTTTGTCCATATAATTTTGTCCTTTCCCTTCTTTTCTATTATATTTTCTTTCAAATCAAACACTTCCTTAGAGCCCATCGACAGTCGTACCAAAACGGTCGCCGGTTCTCTTATTCAACCGTCCGGTCCGGTTCGATACCGGCAGGACCATAAATCCTTGAAAAGTGGTGTCATGTTGGTAATTTAGCTCACCTAAAGCGGTGGTTGTCCGACCTTAGAGTAATTGCCAAGTGAAGGAGTGTCACATGGGCCCTTATTTCCAAGGCACGAACCAAGATCTAATCTATAATCTTTTTCCCTATTACCAATAGAAAAAGGAGAAAAATAAAGGAAAAATCTATGCTTTTCATTGCTTCCCACCTCAGAAAGCATCCAACACTTCCAATTAACAACAGTTCGAGTACCACCACCTTGAGATAACTACTTCTCTCCGTCCTTCTGGTTATGTGATTAATCTCTGCAAGTTCTTTTTAATGGGTATCAAGGAATTCATGTTCTCTTTCCTGCTAGCTTCAATTTTCTCCACCCTTCTCTTCATCCCTACACTTCTAAGCGGACCCATTTCCAGATTCCGGCCGATCACCACAGTTCACCTTCCAAAATCCGGCAAACCATATCCTGTCACATTTGCTTACCTGATCTCTGCTTCAGAAGGGGATGTCGAGAAACTAAAACGCACCCTTCTCGCCTTGTACCACCCTGGAAATTACTACCTCCTCCACATGGACAATGGTGCGCCGGAGATGGAGCATCTGGAACTAGCTGAGTTCGTCTCCGGCAACCCGGTTTTCGCCCAATTCGATAATGTTTGGATTGTTGGGAAGCCGAATTTGGTCACTTACAGAGGACCCACCATGCTCGCAACTACTCTCCATGCCATTGCGATGCTTCTGAGGACTTGCAAATGGGACTGGTTTATCAATCTCAGTGCCTCTGACTATCCCTTAGTCACTCAAGATGGTAAGGTAAGTCAGATTATTTTCCTTTTTGTCTGTGCTTATTTGAAGTATAGGTTGCCTTTCTGATCGGATAGCTTATGACCCTTTTCTCAGATCTGATCGATGCCTTCTCCAACTTGCCTAGAGATCTTAATTTCATACAGCACAGCAGCCGCTTAGGTTGGAAACAGTAAGAGATTCTCCTAATTTTCTTGGTCAACTCTTCTATCTAAATTGACTGATATCAGTAGTTCTACTTATTAAATAGCGTTTAATCAATATCTTGAACCACTACAAACTCTGTAGGAGTAAGAGAGGAAAGCCAATCATCATAGACCCTGGACTTTATAGTATGAATAAATCAGAGATCTGGTGGGTTATAAAACGGAGGACTCTTCCTACTGCCTTCAAACTGTATACAGGTTTGTCCCAATGGTATTTTTCTATTTCTATGGAGCTATGTTCCATGTTATTTGCAAGTATACAACACATACATGATAAAAATTTATCATCACTATTTTGGGTTAAATACACTGAAATTTCATTTAGTATATGATGTAATGAATCTGATTTTTGATGTTTTTGCTCCTGTGAACACATTTAATTAATCAAATGTGGTATTAGGATTTAAGAAGATAGTAAACACTGTATATATTTATATATTTCTCAGATTGCATAATCTAGGGAAGTCACATTCCATGGCCTATGCTTCAGATTATGGATGTGGAGTGCACATGCCTCTGCTAGGCCAGGAACAGATTATAGGAATTTAATTTAATAACTTCAACATATTTTTGTTATATTGTATTTCCTTAGGACAATAGTTCACTGTTTGAGAGGGTTAGTATATGGTGATATGTTGGACCTGATTATGCACTTACAGTGGATTATGGAAGGCTTCTGTAAGAAAATCTTCATGTCTAACTTCCATTCAATGTTGAGTTCATTTACGTAGTGTAATGAAAGGGGTTAGGACCTTCAGTAGATCCCACTCCCACCTAAGCAACCTCTAGCGCCTAAATCTGAATGGCACCCCTTTTCTGGTCCATCAACATTTTCTGCCTATATGTCACTGTAAGGAGATGGAATTTCAGTTTGTTATGACCAAGTTGAAAATTTTGCCTTCCTAGAAGAAAAGAGTTGAAAATTTTCTCTGTGAATCTATTTTTGTGTTTATGTCAAAGAAGGATCAATAAATTATAAAAAACAGAAGACTACATTGCTTTAGATTAATTAGCTCCATTAATCGGTTGTGAATGGCTTAAACCATCTGAAATTTAATTGGTTTTAATTAAGCACATAAATGTAGCGAAGCAATTACTTTGATAATTCTATTTGCCAGGATTGACATCACAACAATGTTGATTAATTCCTTCTCTCCTTTCAGGTTCTGCTTGGACAATAATCTCTCGATCTTTCGCAGAATACTGTATAGGAGGCTGGGAGAATCTGCCAAGAACTCTTCTACTCTATTACACTAATTTTGTCTCATCTCCTGAAGGATACTTCCAAACACTGATCTGCAACTCTGAGGACTACAAGAATACCACAGTAAACCATGATTTCCATTACATCACATGGGACATCCCACCAAAACAGCACCCAAGGACTCTTGGACTGAGAGATTACAGAAGGATGATTCTGAGCAATGCTCCATTTGCAAGAAAGTTCAAGCAAGGTGATCCTGTGCTTAACAAGATTGATCGTGAGCTTCTCAGACGACATCATGGGCAATTCACATTTGGTGGTTGGTGTTCAAAGAGGGGAGACAAATACAGCATGTGCTCAGGTGTACAGGGTGAGAAATTAGGAGTTCTAAAGCCTGGACCAGGTTCTAGAAGATTAAAATCTCTACTAACAAAAATGCTTTCAGTGAGAAATTATAGTGCAAGGCAATGTAAATGATTTTCTTTTTTGAATAAAAGGCCTGTTGACACTGGTTCTGAGACACCATTAACTATATTAGGGCCAACAGTTTTAAAGCCCCAAACCTGTACCTAAAATAATATGTAATTTTGTGTATCATCCTATAATCATCATCATCATCTAAGCCTTGCCCCAACTATATGGGGTCGGCTAATTTTTATGTACCACCATTTCTGTAAAGTAATTAAAACAGGACAGAACCTAGCTGAGTTATGTTATGTGAGCATGTAGATCTATGCTAGAATTTGGTTTCTTCCCTATGATCTGTTAAGAACTGAGGAATACAAGTAATATTTCCCCAGCTTAATCTAATAGAATATTTGTATTCAAGGAAATCTGTCACAAGAATGCATTTTCATTGGCTTCTAGTTTATTTGTTGGTAATTTCACTAGCAACTGGCCATTTCAGGAAAACATGAGTATGGTTTTTCTTGTTTACAAATGTTGCTACAGTAAAGTATAGACCTTGTTGCTACTTGAGCTAATAGTTTTTCTTAACTCCAAAATTTACTCCAGGAGGGGTGACCACTTCAAAATTTTATTAATGAAAATCAAGCATAAGAGAAAATACTGGGGAGGGCGTAGCACTCAGCTTTACCACTCAACCCCATCAATACAAATTAAGTAATTCTAAGTCTAGGAATAAACAAAAGATCGTCAAATAAACAACTTTGTACAGAGCGTGGAAGCAAAGATCTACTATCAAATTGGCTGTCCAAATGCGTGTCACAGGCATATAGTTGGCTAGAGCTTTACCCTCAGGGAGGATATGGCTAAAATGAACCTGGATACAGTTTGTATAACAAGATCTCATCGAGCAGGGAAAGAAGATCTCTCTCAACTTCTAGTCTCTGAAAACCAAGAGCCTTTGCAAACTGCAAAGCATCTCGCATGGTTCGACATTCTGCAGTCATATTAGAAGCAACATGAAATTAGCTTGCAAAAGAAAAAAGAAATTCACCCTGTTCCTCTCCGAAAGCCACCACTAAGGGTGTCAATGGACCAGTTTTGGATTGGATCCTATCCGGTCTAAAATCAATTTGGATGGATTGGATGGACCAACAAGGCATTGGATTGGATCAATCTGATCCAAAATATTTACTAGATTGGAATATTGGATTAGACCTGGTCCGTCCATAATAAATTTATATTAGTTTAAGCCAATATCTGGTCCATTCATATAAGATAAGAATATAGGTGTTAATGGACCGGGTTTGGGTTGAAACCAATCTAAATCAAAACGAATTTGAACAGATTAGGTGGTCCAGACATTGAATTGGACTGGTCCAAAATGATTCAAAATATTCATCGGATTAGATTAGACCGAGTCCATTGATATAAGATAAGAATATAGGTGTTAATGGACCGTGTTTGGGTCGAAACCAATCTAAATCAAAAACGAATTTGAACAGATTAGACAGTCCAGACATTAAATTGGGTCGGTCCAAAATGGTCCAAAATATTCATCGGATTAGATTATACCTGGTCCATTTATAATGAACTCACACTGGACTGGATCAGATTGGACCAAATCCAGTCCAACCCTAACCACCACCACCACCAGAAACACTTGGGTTACCTCTAGCAGCTCCATCAACGTTCACCTATATCCAGCCCCTATCAGGGATTGACCACAACACAAGGAGGGTTCTTGGCACATTAGGGTAGGCTAGCTATTTTGATATTTCTCACCCTTAGAAGGACTTCGTTGTCTTTCTTATCGGAGTTGACCAATTAAATTCCTATAGCCAATCATAAACCATTTTGATATTTAACACCGTTCTTTCACTTGCGACGATTGGGACTGACCAAAAGAAAGCCATTATAACAGCCCTACTTGAGCTAATAGTATCTACCCTCCTGAGCTCACAAAACTTTCATTTCTGAGATTGTCATATGAATTGAGATACTTCTCCAAGTATTATAATTCTATTTCATCATTTTTAAACCTTTCAAAATATTGCACCTTAGCTTTGTTCAATCTAGATTTGATATTGCCAAGTTATATCCTGAGATCTAATAGCATTCTTTGAAAAGGCACACTTTCTAGTAATTAAGTTGAAAACTTTTACAATTGATCATATTAATGATTCATGTCTTAGGGTTGAAAATTGGGGCTGGGTTAGCCTTACACAACCTGAATCCAACCCAAAAGGTCAGGTTAGGATTAGGGTTTATAAACCCAACTTAACTTCATATTTGTATGTATAAATATTATATGAATGTGCAATCACGCATCCATAAATGTATGTATATATGTATGTATGTATACATTTATGCATGTATGTATGTATGTGACACTGCTAAAGATAGTATCAAGGTTAAAGCTAGAATTTTTGAAGTTATCAAGCCGGGGTCCCACCTATAAGCATAGAAAAGACCTTAGAGGCCCCAGGGTGTGGTTCTAGGGGCGAGAACTCTGGCAATTAACTTAGTCGAGGACTCAAGGAAGCCAAGGTGGGAGAAACAAGAGTAGTTAAGTGAGTAGGAAAGCATAAGAGTGTTACCTGAGACTTGAGTCCGTACTTATAGTTGAAGCCTCCCCTACATTGAAGTGGTGAGCTCTTGGTAACATCTTTGCACGTTGGGCACCATTAAGTCTGAGAGCATTAAGGTGGTGACCATATGGCTGAGTGTTGCCCTGCCATAGAGGGGCTTAGTCAAGGTTGTAATGCCTGTCATGTCCACAAACAGCTAGAGAGAGAGATTTGGCTACATCACATGCCCTCCACTTTTGAGGCCGAGGTTGAGGTGAGGATTGGTTTTTGTTGGTCTTGATCTCAGCTTCATCCAAAGAAAGCAAAGAAAATCACATGTGTATCCATTGCTCTGGTGCGAGTTTAGTTGTGCATTTGTTTGTCGGTGAAGATGATGATCCAAGGCTTGCGGGAGCATCGGCTGGGAGCTTTCAAACCATCTTGGCTTGTGTTTCTATATCGTCTTTCGAAGTCTCCACCGTCTTTGTCCTTTTTTCCACTTATTGGTAAGTTCTCGTCTTCCTTATAATGTCTCCAATTTAGATAAAGAAGTCTACGATTTCCCTTAATGGTCTACCCCTAGTGAGACCTTTTCTTCTTCTAGTGATTCTGGATTGGACTTTGAGAGCTCTACTCGGCCTTCAGAGGTAGAGTTCTTGTAGAAGAGAGTTATAGCTCGTGGAGCTAAGCGTGATGGCGCCACTAGTTTGTCTTTAGAGTAAAGAGAGGGTTCTAGCAGCTTGAGGGCCAAGTGGGGTGATCATTCTATTCATGTCCTTGGGGAGATCTCTGAGGGTGAGGAAGGAGAGAAAGAAGCTAAGGCTAGTGGTGTTGAGGTTGAGGAGGGTGGTGTTTTTGAGCTAGAGTGCATTCTTCGACCTTCCAATGTAGAGCAGTTGTGCTAAAAGTATCACATTCCCTGCTAGTTCACCGCTAGTATTCCTTGGGCTGGTGAGAGGCCCTAGGCAACCATAAAGGCAAAATTTATGTTCATGAGCATTATTTGTAGGCCGAGGAGATTCATTCACCTTTAGTACCCAAGAGCATGAACCACTACAAGATTACCCTTGGTCAGTTTGCCTCCAATTCCATTAGGACTATCATCGGTGCCATCATAGCCCATCTCCAAGGTGTCCATGTTACCCTAGATTTGTTTAGGAACCTTTTTTTTCTTAAGATGTCATCCCTCTAGCCAGGGGTGGTGGTACTTTCAGACTCGAGAGGGGAGAATCCTAGATAACCCATCTTTTGTGCACTTTTGGAAGTGTAAGTATTTTTCTTGTCATGTCTCGGGGGCCAGCCCTTTAGTATGAAGTGGTGAAACCTGAACTTTACAACTGAGAAGGCCAAGCTATTTCATTCCAAGGAGGAGGGCATACTGTTTGATCGCCTTAAGCTTGGCGGGCTCACCAAGGTTGATAGCCCTAGTGCAGGCTAGTCTTAGCTCAACTAACTTTGGTAGAGATGTCTTCTTAGTTGGTTTTATTGTTAGATGTTGAGTGTGGTTTATTGACTTTATCCATTCTCATTGTGTAGATATGGACTTAGCTCAAAGGAAGATGGTTGCTCTTGCAACAAAGAAGGCTGAGGAGGAAGTCTACTGTCGAGGTCAACAAGAAGGGGCCCGAGGTCCCGATGTGTAAAGTATTTGTGGTGGAGACTAACAAGAAGAATACTAGGGTAGAAGCTAGCCTGAAGAAGGCTACTATGGCGAAAAGACCCCCTAAGAACATGGTGGAGGAGAGACCACAAAAGAAGTAGGTTGTGAGGCTTGATACTCACAGAACCCTGCGTCAATGGGAAGGTCCATCCATTGTCACTCCGCAACGTACCCCTAGGTTGTCTTGCCTTTGTCCATCGCTGGCTCGATTATGAGTGAGAATAACGAGACGCTCATCTGATGCATCCCATTTTGTCGAAGTTGGTCGGTGAGGAAACAAATTTGGTCACTATGGAGTGCATTGGCTAATAGCTTATTATGGACATTGTGCTTCCAGGTGACTTACAATTGTTGGTGATGGAGCTGAATTGCCCCATTAATAACTTGGCACTGGACAAGATAGCTGAGGTGAGTATCCTTCTTATTCTTTGGATTTTCTTTAAATTGCTTTAATTTGTCTTCTAATGAGTTGTCATTACAGTAGGCCTTATCGACCATTGACCTATGCGATTAGCTAGATGTCTAAGAGAAGATGTTGGAGTAGAACAGGGCCAAGGTTAGCTACCTGACTAAAGAGAAGCCGGAGACAAGGGAAGGGGCGCTTTGGATGAAGGATCACATTGAGAAAGAAGATGTTGAGCGTCACAAGGTTATCTCCTCCTTGAAGGAAGTGGAGTTAAGCTTAAGGAGGTGCAAGCTGAGATGTCCACTACAAGGGGTTAATTGAAGGATTGGATTGCAAGTTGGAGGAGGCCTCAACGAGGGTTATTGTAGAGTTCTAGAATGACTTGGACAACGATTGTAGAGTCATCTTTTTTAAGCATGTGAGGCCCATCACTCCCAATTGATTTAAGGCTCGCTTCATGGTTGAAATTTAGAGGAGGAGTTGCTTGACACTCATCTAATGAGAGGGTAGACCAGTTCCATGTAATAGATTGCGTCTTGCAGGTGAGTCTCTTCACCTGACTTATTGAAAGGGACTCTGGTAGCCGGAATTCTGATCATGTGCCCCTTGTGTTTGGCTTTGATAGTGATATGTTGACGGGACGAGAGCTAGGCC